GTGGTTTCTTTACTGTGTCCTTCCTAGCTTACACTTTCTACATATACACTATGAGTCTTGGGCAAGCACACAACACACACACACACACACACACACACACACACAGTTACATAGCAAGTTTGTAAATATCAAGTGTGAGGCCAGCCTGGGCTATGTGAGACCCCCTTCCTCCATTTTTAAGTGTGGGGGAGAAGTTTTGGGGATATGGAACATTACAGATTTTATTTTAGTTTTTCTAGATAGTTTTCCTTTGTATAGCCTTGGCTGTCCTGGAACTCAGTGTATAGACCATGCTGGCCTTGAACTCATAGAAATCCACTTGCCTCTGCCTCCCAAGTGCTGGGATCAAAGGCTTGTGCTACTACTCCCCTGCTCATTCTAGATAGCCTGAAACTTACAGATAGCTGTAAGTTTCAGGCTATCTATACAAACAAGAGAGAAAGACCCTGCCACCAAACAAGGTCAAAGGTGAAGATGACACCTGAGGTCATCATCTGAATTCCACACATGAGCTGTGACATGCATTCGTGGCACACGCAGACACACACAGACACACTCAGATACATGAAGATGGATGTGATTCACTGAAGGTAAATTATGCTTCAAGCAGTCAATTCTTTCCATGCATGAAATATCCAGAGTGACTTCTAGTTCCTGAACTGAACACCTGACACTGAGGGAAGGGCTCTAGACCAACAGGTAGCAAGGGGACTGAGGGCATGTATGGCCCCATGATGGGAAGCTGGAACCCTGGAGAGGCATGACCAGGGAAAGGTTCTTTGCATAAAATGATTGACATCTTGGAGTAGAGCTTACCTTCACCCACTTAACCCTGCAGCTAACTGAGCAGAACAAAATGAAAGTAGCCAGGTCTGTGTTGATGATAATGGAGCTAGTTAGAGGATGGGCAGGAGGGGATGGGGTGTGGCGGTCAGGCACATCCCTCTGGGATTGCAGCTATTGCCTCTCTCCCCCTCCCCAGCCACAAGTGATCGTGGAACATACTAGAGTTACAAGAAGTGGAAGGTTGACTGAAAGGAGGCTCCACAATGCAGCTAGCTTCCATGAGGTCATCGTGCTGGGGTGGCTCTTTGTGGTGATGCAGCTATTTCAAGGTCACCTATAAGTAACCCCTCACCTGTGCCCTGTAAGTGATGGGGAAGCTCACTTCTTCATTTAAAAAGAAGGAAAAGTTACCAGAGGGAGATTTGTTTTGTTTTTTAAGACAGGGTTTCTCTGTGTAGCTTTGGAGCCTGTTCTAGAACTTGCTCTATAGACCAGGCTGCCCTTGAACTCACAGAGATCCATCTGCCTCTGCCTCCCAAGTGCTGGGATTAAAGCATGTGCCACCACTGCCTGGCACAATTTTTGGTTTTTAAAGGCTGTCATTTAACATTTTAAGTTTAAAATCTAATAATCTCTGTGCTCTAAGATCTAATTGTGCTTAGCTTCATTCCCTCACAGACTATAAGAAAAGATGTTTATTTTTATGAGTATATACCTGTATGTATATCTGTACACTACTGTGTACCTGGTGCCCATAGAGGCCAGAAGAATGTATGGAATCCCCTGGAACTGGAGTCCCAGATGGTTATGATCCACCATGGGGGGTGCTGGGATTGAAATTAGGTCTTCTAGAAGAGCAGTCAGTACTCCGAGCCACTGAGCCATTGCTGTAGCTCCCCCTCATGAATTTCGAATTGATGCCAAGTATGTAAGTACTAAAAGCAGACTTATTCATAGGAATAAACGTTCTGAACTGGGATCCAGTTTGTAGCCTTTATAGAAGTTGGTGTTGTTCCTCAAAGGAGAAGGAAACCTGAGCATAAGGAATGTCTCCCCATTTGCCTTTTAACTGTAAAATAAGATCTAGCTGTAATGAGGTGTTAGAATTTAAGTTATCATTCAAGGGTCATAGTTTTCCACCACAGCTCATAACTGGGCCACACTGTGTTAAAAAAAAAATAAGAATAATTGAGCCAGGCAGTGGTGGCACTCGCCTTTAATCCCAGCACTCAAGAGGCAAAGGCAGAAAGATCTCTGTGAGTTTGAGGCCAGCCTGGTCTACAAAACAAGTTCTAGGACAGCCAAGTCTACACAGAAAAACTCTGCCTCCAAAAAACAATAAATAAATAAAGTCACCATTTAAATGAAAACATAATTTGTAAGAAGTTGTAAAGTCTAGGAGAGCTCTCTGAAGGACTGAGGCATGTGGGTATTGCCCTTTCTGAGGCCCTCTGTCACTGTCTCTGCGCCTAACCCCTACTGTCTCAGAAAAACATGAGCTGATACTGCTGAGCCATCATAGTGGGCACAGTCTTCTTGGAGCCCTGACCTGGACAATAGTGAATTGTGACTATGAAACCGGGGAATATAACAAGCAACAAAACAAAGTAATGTGAGTAACCAGAGTACACAAACTGTTCATTTTATATTACATTGTAATTTTGAAAAAATTTCAGACTTACAGTTTCCAAGTAACACAAGTACCTCTTTACAACTGTTATACGTCAGTTAGAACAGTAAACATGATAGAGCCATTAACTGTCCAAAAGCTTAGTTCAGATCTCACCTTTGTCCCTCTAGTGTCCTTTTTCTGTGTGTTTCAGGACCCAGCCTAGGATGGCGCCTTACTTTCAGTTATTATACTACTCAGTCTTCTTTAGTCTGAAATAGTTCTCTGATCTTTCCCTAATTTTCATGACTTTGATGTTAGTTTTTTCCCTTTCTTTTTTGAGACAAGGTCTTACTATGTAGGCAGGTTGGCTTCAAACTTCGGATGTCTTGCCTTTACCTCAACCTCCTAAGTGCTGGGGTCATAGGCTGCATCACATGACCTTAACTTTTTTTTCACATGGGAAGTTTTACTGGGAAAAGGGAAGAGAGGAGAGAGAGAGAGAGAGAGAGAGAGAGAGAGAGAGAGAGGACACAGAGACCTGTCTGCCTCCTCAGAGTAACGGAGGAAAGAGAATGACTTTAACATTTTTAAAGTTATTCTGTAGACCAGTGCTATCCAATAGAATTTTCTAAGATAGAAATGTTCTGTATCTCAATGGCCAACATGCAGATGAATTTCACATTTGAAATATGGCCAATGGGGCTCAGAATGCCAGAGGCATGACCACTGTCCCTTTTCTAGAATTTAAAGAGCTGTTGACAGGTGATTGGGAACCAGGCAGGTCAGGAAGCCGGATTGTTTTAATGCCCTTCGAAGCCCAGCAAGGACAGGGCTAACTATAACCACATTTAGAAAGCCAGTCCCCACAGGCCTGATGCTCTTTTTGCAAGCATTAAATAAGAGTCATGGTGGTTTGCAGCAAGACTAAATCACCAATACTTACTTAAAAAAATTGCTTTTGACATTTTCAAATTTGTTTTGCAGTCAGGGGGACAGATAATTGTGGAGATCAGAAGACAGTTTTCAGGAGTTCTTCCACCATGTTGTCCCAGGGATCAAACTTATGTGTGATTTGTACACCCTGAAAGTTGTGAACTATCTACACAACTACCAAGAACAGTGTGGTAACTAGAATGAAAATGGCCCCCATAGGCTCACTGGGAGTGGCACTATTAGGAGGTGTGGCCCTGCTGAAGAAAGTGTGTCACCAGTGATGGGCTTTGGGTTTCAGAAGCTCAGCCTAGGCCAAGTGGCTCACTCTCCCTTTCAGCTGCCCAAAGATCCAGATGTAGAAAGAACTCTCAGCCTCTCTCTCCAGCACCATGTCTGCCTGCACTCTGCCATGTTTCCTGCCATGCTGAACTAAACCTCTGAACTGTGAGCCAGCCCTCAGTTAAATTGCCGTGATCATAATGTCTCTTCACAGCACTAGGAACCCTAAGACCAACAGTAATACAATCTCAAAGAGTTCCAGAATCTCTGTCACATAACTAATTCTGTTTGGCAGCAGTTCTAACCTCAGTGATCTCCACGGAATCCCTTAGCCTTCTCTAAAAAAAAAAAAAAAAAAAAAAAAACAAAACTGTGCTAGATAGGAAAGTATAACATTAAGTATATCATTGATGCATTTTTCAAAATATTTCATGTTTTATATTTATGGGGGGAGGTAGATACCAATGCTTTTGGGAATCGACTATCCTTCCCTCGTGTAAATTAAAGGAACCACACGAAGATCCTCAAGCTTGGCAGCAAGTGACTTTACCTGCTAAGCCATCTCACCAGCCCTTGCTGATTGATACATTTTTACATATATTCAAGCTGTGTACTCACCACCTACATCAGGCTCTAGGACATTTCTACCCTCTAGGCGTGCTGAGGTAACTAATATGATTTCTTTTTTAGTACATTAGCTTTTTACTTCTTGTTGAAACATTTGACTGGAAGCAGAAAGCATTTTGTCTCCGTTAGCAGAGCACCATTTAGCAATGCCACCTATTCCAGTATGGTGAGATCTTATTCCTGTTACGTGATCTTTTACTGCTGTGTACTAATCACAGTCTGCCCATTTATTTTACTGACGGACACTTGAATTGGTTTCATAATCAAACCACTAGAACTTTTCTAGTGGATGTGGTTTAAAAGGAGATTTTAATCTTAGTTTTAATTGCCTTGGTGTGTGTACAGTGAATACAGGTGCCAGTGGAGATCAGAGGTGTAGGTCACCCTGGTGCTGGAATTACAAGCGATTGTAATTCCAGACATGGAATTACCGCCAGACATGGGTGCATACTTCCAAGTTTTGCTGCACCATATTCCCACTGTGTCTGCTCGTGTCGCCTGGCTAGGCATTCACACCCCTGTGGCATTTGCCTGACACCCCACCTTTATGGAGCACTTCTTGCCGGGCACTATAGACCCTCTCCCCTCCAGCAGTTGGCTAAAAGAGCTGCTTTGCTTGAGTTGCTTGGGAGTGAGTCCAAGAAGGCCAGTTTTCAGGGCTTCTGGACTTCCTCTGGAAACTGCTCCAGACCAAGCAGCGAGAAAACAATCTGCTCCTTCATGTCTCTGCAGGGAACCAGAACTGCCCCCAAACAAGGCCTACCGAGCACTAGCAGCTAGACCAGAGGCTCACGAAACTCGGGGCTCATCCAATGGCCCCACGATCGGCTCTCCTCGGTCCACGTCCTTCTTGCCATGCTTCCGACCC